AATTAACCAAAGTTGCAATTTCTGACCCTATACCATGCTAGTTGGCTCTCTAGCCCAGCAACTCAGCAAGAATATCCAATAAGGACTTCCCAGAGACCTCAACTCTCACAGAATCTTATTTGTAAAGTAAAATAAGAGACCAGCAAGCCATACAGGGTTGGCTTCAAGGACAACATAAAGCCTTATGTGACACAGATGCTGCCAGATGGTCTTGTCTTCAGGTCGTAGTTGTTTGGATTTGTGGATCTTTATTCCGACCTTCTTAGCAGGTCAGAGAGTGAAGGTATATTGTTCTGTTTGCCAGGTTATATCTCTTCCTAAAGAACAGTCCCCCTCTCCTAAGAAACTGCTTTTGCTTTATCTTCCAACAAATCTTCTCATTTCCTCAGATGATCCAAGAATGATCCTGGGTTCCTTTATATCAAATTTTATCTAAATTGAATCTAAGGAAAGGGGATGTTCCTTCTATGGTGATGTGGCCATAAAAATTAGAGATTTGAAAGAGTCATCCCGCCGGCGGTGGTGGCGCACACCTTAAATCCCAGCACTTGGGAGGCAGAGGCAGGTGGATTTCTGAGTTCGAGGCCAGCCTGGTCTACAGAGTGAGTTCCAGGACAGCCAGGGCTACAAGAGAAACCCTGTCTTGAAAAACCTAAAAAAAAAAGAAGAAGAAGAAGAAGAAGAAGAAGAAGAAGAAGAAGAAGAAGAAGAAGAAGAAGAAGAAGAAGAAGAAAGAAAGAAAGAGTCATCCCTCCCTTTGTAGGGAAGAGGCTGGCCTATTTTGTCGAAAAGCAGAGAAGCTATAAGGATCATCAAAGAGACTTGGTCTTGGCAGTCTTCAGTGCCCTGAGACCAAGCTGCAATGGTCCCATTCAGTTACTATGGAAACATCACAGCATCCTGTGGGCTTAGAGTTTTCAGAACCTACTTTACTTAGGGTTCTTAAATCCTTTAACCTCCCTTCTAGCTCACCGACCAGAGGTAACCAAGAAAAATGGTTAATAGGAAAAGGGGATTGTGGACCTGTTTAGAAGTAGTTCTTAGGGACAATTCCAATCTTCGTTGTCAGGATATCAGTAATCCAGTCCAACACCAAGCATGAATCAGGAGGAGAGGCTTATTCCGGCAGAAACTGCAAGGCTCCACTGAGTCGGCACAAGTCAGCAGAAGTGGCAAAAATCAGTCAGTATACCATGAGACGTTCTTTGATGCATTTCTCTCTACAAAGTGAAGACCAGCAAAATCCAGCTAAGCGTTGCAAGGCATAGCAATGCAAAAGCATCCTCTCACTGTCTGTGGGGTTACATTTATATTTTTTCTAACCATCACGAGCCCTCTCAAGTGTCCTTCCTCTCCAGCAAAACATCACATGCCGTCTCATGTGTCTGCTTCAGCAAAACATCCTCTTATGTGTCTACTTCAGCAAAACATCCTCGTACAAGACAGCTTCCAGAAAAACATCATGTGACACAACTCAGTTCCCAAAGAAACCAGGAATTTTCACTTCATATCCCCCTTTCTGTTAAAACAATTATGTTTTTCTCTAACATTAACCATCTACACACAACAGAAATACTTATAAGAGCCATAAAACTAGAACTTTACATCACATTTTAAATAAGCTGCATATGTACAATATATCAAACAGTAGTCAAACAAAACAACCTTAAATTTCTATCATGATACATTAATCCATGCCAAAGTAAAATATTTAAGACTTGCATACTTAATTTTTATTTTAAAAATTTTATTTATTGTTATTCCATTTCCCCCTCTTTTTCCCCATCATAAGATAAGAATGTTTAAAAACAAAAACAGAGGGGTAAAATCCCTGATTTAAAGTTTATTTTGTCTCCTCCCTGATCATAACCAATAACAACCTACCACCTTACATGACTACAATCATAACACATCAACGACCAAAACCATCCACCCCAACTTAAGGGTCAGGGACCACAGTCTTCTTACAATTGCTTCCTGCTGAATTGGGGTGAAAAATTTGTGTTTGGGGCCCCCCCAAAAAGTGGTTAGACTTTAAAGAGCTAGCTGTAGCATTTGTTGCCCAGTGTTTGTGTTGTCTGCCGAGTCTACGTGTTGTCCAGTCTCTTTGTGATTGATCTTTCAGAGTAGTCTTTAGAAACTGTGTTGCATTCATATTTTGGAGAAATCAGTAACTGAGACAGTCTGTGAGAGTGAATCACCTGGGCTATTTGCTTTGTGGTGACATGCATGTCTCAGCTGATAAAAGGTTTTCCCTGGTCAGATCCAATCTTTATAAGTTTTGTGAGTAACCACATTTTTTATTCCCTATTGATACATAAGCATAACCATGTCCCCATCTTAAAACTATTGCAGGTTTCCATACTAACGTCAACTCATCCTTATAGTATATTGGTTGGCTTAGTACCTCAGGGTTTTTTTTTTTAATGACCCAGTGTCTTTCAGCTGATATTGTTCCTTTTTCACCAATATTTAAAAAACTTAGAGTTAACAAAGCATTATTTAGTCTGCCCCTGGGATTTTCTACTACTAGTCTTCCTTTTTGTTTAATAAGCATCTCTTTTAAGGTATGGTTGGTTCTTTCTGTAATTGCTTATCTTGTGGGATTGTGTGGTACAACAGCAATATGTTTTACATTGTAGTATACAAAGAATTGGTTCATCTTATTGGATACATATGCGGGAGCATTATCAGTCTGAATTTGTACATACTGTCCCTCTAAAACCCTCCTTTAGCAAAGCTCAGTCAAGTTTTGTTTCTAGCATTCACCAGCAGGAGTCTTAAATGGGTCAAATGAATTATATTATTCTGTCTATGCTGTATAAAAGACACACAGTCCAGGTATTTTATTTATCAGCTATAAGCCTAGATTGGGCAGGTTTGGAGCTATTCTATCTTATATCTCAGACATATGTCCCTTGTTACTTGCTGTTTCTCCCAGCCAAATGCTCATGTTCCATGTACTCTCTGGACGGCTTCTTCCTCTGTCAGTTTCTTTCTTCTCCTCCAGTCTCTACCTGCGATCCCTAGACAGGTAACTGAAAACCCGCCTGCCTCTATCTATGGCCCAATGACACCCTTTAGCCTTTTACTGACCAATTAACTTGGGGAACAAGGTTACATAGCATCACTTGACATACATGTACTCATTGGGGTAAACCAAGTATCAGGGTGCCAGTATTCAGCATTTGAATGTGTAGCAGCACCAGACCAGCCACAACACAGAAGCAGTGACTCTGCCACTTCCTTGTCCTTAGGTTACACTTTTCTTCCCTGCTTTGCCCTTTTTCAGAGTGAAGACCAACCTCAGTGCTGCGCCTACTTGCTTTGCCCAAAGTTAGCTTCCATTTCATCACACACTAAACTTCAGCATCCCAAGAGCCACCCTGGAGAGGGTCAAAGGTCAGGCTCAGGAATCTGTGGTTTTGGAAAACATACACTCTCATTGTCTCTGATGTGCAGCTGGATGAACATATGACCGAGCCAGATGGTGCGTGAACCTCACTAACCTGAGGAGCATATGGATGCCCCCAATCAGATGTGCAAATTAGTTGCCCTACTTCTGCCTAAACTTTGCCTGTTTCTCAGCCAGAGTTTGCCAAACAAAAGTCTACTTGTCACAGTTGTGGGAAGGCATCTGGGCAGTTCCGAGCTCTCAAAGAGTAACCATAAAGGAGGTGGAAGTGACGTTGCCATCTTGGAGCATTAGAGGGACATCCCGGGCTCGCTGTGCTCTGTGCCGTCAATTTCCCTACTGCTGAAGGTCACTAATGTAAATTTGTTTCTTTGTAAAGTCTAGAGTTATACCACAAGCCTGTGTTTTTGTTGTTTTGGTTTGTTTTTATTTTTGTTTTTGCTTTTGCTTTTGTTTTGAAGTAGCTATCTTCAAGAGAATTGGGCATAGCCCCCCACCCAGGGGGTGTAGTATTGAAGTATGAGGGGAAAACCTGTTTTAAATCTATGTCTAACTAGTTCTCTATTTCTTCTGACAGAAGGGAAGCACACAGCAGATCACCTTTTTCTTTTGCAAATGAATGCCAGCTGGAGAGTCAAGTCAAGCAAGAAGCCCCCTTTCCCATCTCAGTTCATGAGGCACTGAGTGCAATCCAGTGAGGTTTTCATAGGACCTTGGACAGTTAGAAGAAGTTTTACATTTGATGCCATATGGCAGATGCTTCAAGACTTTTCCTCTACTACGAAGTGACTTACTGCTCCCTTTTTTCTTTGTGTGCCATTGTTTTATGTTTATTTCTACCGAGCATGTAGAACTTGGGTCTTAAGGCTTTGCAAATCTTGGCGTGATTACAATCAGAAGAGTTTGTCCATTTAACCAATAGCAACCCCCAATCTGACGAAGTGACTCTTTTCTGTTATTTCACTTCCCTCGTGCGTGTGTGTGTGTGTGTGTGTGTGTGTGCGTGTGTTTGTGTGTGTTGTGTCCTTTCCTCCTACCCACTCCCTGAAAACATTTCAAAGAGTGCCCCAATAAAGGGTGACAAACTTGCATGTGCTTCTCTTATGACTAAACCTCTGGGCCTCTGACCAATCCCTGACCAGCTCGGATGGCTCCAAACTTTAGGCATCCCAGTCAAGAACTCCGCATTTGTAGCCCTGGTTGGAACTGCGAGGGCGGAGGGTGCTAGGGAGTAGCGGTGTCGGAGGGAAGGTGAAGCAACCACACGGAGGAAGAGGGCGTTTCCTTCTCACGAGCTGTAGCTGGCTCTGGGTCTTGGCCTCCGGGCTCCACCCAGTCCCTCCCTGTGCTCAGGGAAAAGCCAGTCGCCACACACACAGGCATACTCAGGCCGGGCGCCACGCCCTAAGGAGAGCGGCCTTGGGGCCCATCACCATGGCAACTGCAGAGCTCCTTCCACTTCCCCACCCAGCTGATTTTCCCCACCCCACCCCCTTCTCCCTGCGCAGCCAACCGGTTTTGCGTCCCTGGAGCACACTATAAAACCTGCACGGGTGGCGCTCGCCGCTCAGCCAGACCTGGGTGAAGGGGCAGTCCCATATCCAGCCCGTGACAGCCCTAGCAGGCAGAACATGAGCGTCTTCCTGCGAAAGCGATGCCTCTGCCTAGGCTTCCTGCTCTTCCATCTCATAAGTCAAGTAAGTGGCGAAAGCTTAAGATGCCCCGGATTACTTTGCCCTCCTAGACTGCCCCTGATCCGTCCTGGGCTCACTCTGCCTTAGTTTGCCCCTAATAACCGGAGTTCGTTTTCTTGTCTCGCCGCTCTTCCTAGGTCTCTGCAACTCTGCGCTGCCCGGCTCGGTGCCCGCCCCAGTGCCCCAGTATATCACCGACCTGCGCCCCCGGGGTGCGCTCGATGCTGGACGGCTGCTCCTGCTGTCCGGTGTGCGCCCGCCAGCACGGGGAAAGTTGCTCTGAGATGATACCATGCGACCAGAGCATCGGTCTCTACTGTGACCGCAGCGCAGACCCCAAGAACCAGACTGGCTTTTGCTTGGGTAATCCTACCCCTAACCCCACCCTGCTGTCCCCTCCTCTGGCAGCTAGGTGATACTTTGCTTTCTTTTTTACTTTCCCAGAAAACTAAGCAAAAAGCATTTGTAGCAATAGTATAGTACAGTAAGTGACATGTATAGAGAGCTTTCAGTATAGGAGGCATCAAGCTGAGAGGAAATGCGCCCGGTGCAGGTACGTCTCTTGTCTAGAGAAGGGTCTAAAGCAGAGGTAAGGACCAGTGAAATCATTTTATTTGGCCAGCTCCAGGGGGACACTTGGGGTGATGGAAGTATGAGCTTACTCCCAGGCCTATAGTTCCCCTCCGCAGCCCCTCCCCTCCCCCCACCCCCACCCCCACCCTGCATCAGCCCAGAGCCTTTGTTTTCACACCTGTAATTGTCCTAATTTGAGCCAAAGCAATTCCTTCTCTTGGGAGGACTATGTCACTCCAGTCTGAGCTGTAGTAAAATAAAATGCAGGCAACTAGCCAACCCAGGCTCATGAAAATTAATCAATGGGAGATCAATTTCCCATCAGGTACACTGCTGTAATCAGGGTCATACCTACTACCACCCTTGGTAAGAGTCGAAGCAATATCTCTCTCTCTCTCTCTCTCTCTCTCTCTCTCTCTCTCTCTCTCCCTCTCGCTCTCTCTCTCTCTCGCTCTCTCTCTCTACCTCGCTCTCACTTGCTCTCTCTCTCTCTCAAGTTAGTGATGATGTACTGTGATTCAACGCCAAGAAAACTTAATACCCCTTCCAATCCGACCAGTGAACCTCTCCGGTTTTAAATCCTAAACTACTGCAGAAGATGACTCTTTCAAAACCATCTTATCTTTAGAGATCAGGTCTCTGGAGTGTGACTTCAGCGTTTATTCTTGTCTTTGTTCTGTGGTTCTGTCTTAGAAATGAAATCATTTCAGGTAGGTGCTTTCAAAAGGAAGTAGAGATTTGTTAGAAGCCATCCAATTAACCAGAATGTGTGTATTGGCGTGTCCAGAGTCTGCAGTGTTTACACTCCTCTTTGCCCACTCGTGAGAACTAGGTGAAGAAAGAAGGACCAGATGGGATTGGTGCCTTCTCCTCCTTCTGGAAGCATCCATAAGGACTTAACTCTCCTTAAAATGTATAATAAGCACTAGAAAAGGAGGAACTTCTGACCATGTCCTACCATTTTACAGAGCTTCCAGAAGGAGACAACTGTGTGTTCGATGGGGTCATTTACCGCAGTGGAGAGACATTTGAGCCGAGCTGTCAATACCACTGCACCTGCAGAGACGGGCAGGTTGGCTGTGTGCCCCGCTGCCAGCTGGACGTGTTACTGCCTGGTCCCGACTGCCCAGCTCCGAGAAAAGTCGCAGTGCCCGGGGAGTGTTGCGAAAAGTGGACCTGCGGCTCAGATGAGGAGAGGACACTAGGTGGCCTGGCCCTTCCAGGTGAGAAATTCAGCAGACATGGGGCAGTTAAAGGAAAATGCAGTCACAAAAAAAGCAGGTTTGACTCTAGGATTTAAGATTAGAAGCTGCTTTAAAGGCTGTTCCATTGTGAACTACAGATCACCCAAATGAGATCAGAGGCATCACTTATTTAACTCTGAGCTAGATTACTGAAATATGCACACAGCTTCTTTTTTAAAGGGACCCAAGAGAGACAGCCGCAGCGTTTCATTTTTGCTTTGGGATAGGTATAGGTATTATTTGACTCTCCCTCCCCCCCCCCCTCTCTCTCTCTCTCTCTCTCTCTCTCTTCTGATGGACTCTTAATTAAAAAGAAAAAACTCTTTGATAGTTTTTTTTTTAATTTGGTTGGCTCTGCTTACTTGTCAGAGTTAAAATGTGACATTGGGAAAGTGTCTCAGCTGGTAATTACAGTGTAGATGTGAGGACCTTAGTTAGATCCTCAGCATTCTTTAAAAAACAAAACAACAAACAAATGAAAAAACCCTGCCTGTAATTCTGATGCTGAGAAGGCAGAAATCTGCAGGTCTCTTGGGGTCACTGGCCAACCTAATCAAGTAGCCCCGATTTCAGTGAATACGCTCCTAAGGAACATTTAAGGTAGATCTGTGGCCTCTGTACACATGTGCATGCACACCTTCAAACAAGTGGACACACACACACAGAGACCTGAACACATATACAAAACATTAAACTGTTAACACCATCTTTCTATGTACCAAATCATGTATTGAAACTTTCAGCTTATGATAGTACATGTTCCTATGTTCATATAATTACTAAGTCTCTTAGGACAAGTTGCCTTAAGCTTCTTAGGGTTCAGTGAATAAAGATTTCTTGCAACCCTACATTGTGCGCTACCCATTAAGGGTTTGTAAATAAACCTAGTCTTGCACGTTACAAGAACTGGTATATATTAGCTACAGAATTGAAATTCACGATCTAATGTTTTCTGCGGGACACCACTTATATCCCCATCCTTTACTCAAATAGCTGTATTTATACCTCTGATAGCCTACAGACCGGAAGTCACCGTAGGAGTCGAAGTCTCTGACTCCAGCATCAACTGCATTGAGCAGACGACGGAGTGGAGCGCGTGTTCCAAGAGCTGTGGGATGGGCTTGTCCACCCGAGTCACCAACAGGAATCGCCAGTGCGAGATGGTAAAACAGACGCGTCTCTGCGTAGTCCGACCTTGTGAACAAGAGCCTGAGGAAGCAACAGACAAGGTAGGAGCCTACCCCCTTACAGCAGTGGCCTCGCCTCCTTGAAGCGTGGCCTCCAGAAAGTCACTGTCACACTAGCTGACTTTAAAAAAAAAAAAAAAAATGCCCTAGCTGGGCATAATCCAAACAAACGGCGTGGAGCACCCTGATTCAAAATCAGTACCTTCTAGCTTTCATGTTTAACATACACAAATGCCCCTCAAGCAACTCACAGCAGTTCTACAAACAAATGGGAAAGGACTCAGAGCTGAAATACTTTATCCCAGTGAGGATGCTCTAGTAAATCGCATCCCATACCTGGAGGAAAAAGAGTAGCTTTCCAAAAGTGAAGAAGAGCTGAGAAGGTTAGTCTTTAAATAAACCGGGTATGAGCTGTAGGAAAGACCAGGATAGAGACTATGTCTGCTTTATTCACCTTACTGTCCAAAGATCCTACTATGTGCCCTGGAATATATTGTGTACACAATAAACATCTACCAGTAAATGCATGAATGGATATCTGGAAATTATGAACAATATTTTTAAAAGCCCAGTAGAAATAGTACATTTGCCAGAGTAAGGCAACATGAGCCAAATGAAACAATGTATTTCTTCCCAACCACCATCAACTTTTTTTGTTGTTGATGGAATTATGTCAACACGGTATGTTGATTCTAGGTATAAAGCATGCAGATCAGGAGCCCTAATTGGTTCCTGATGACATAAAAGGTCTTATTGCAGAACTGGATCAGATAAATATAATATCAGATTAACTATTACATAGATTCTTATATCAGCCCGGGGACAAAATAAAACAACCCCTGGAAATTCAAGCTTTGTACAACTTTACTCTGAAGTAGTATCATATAATGTTTAACAGGACAAGACTAGAACCAGTTCAGCCTGGCTTTAAATCCTTTCAGTATGACCTAGCTTTGTAATTTTGGGCAATTTATTTTAAAATTTGTCCCCCATAGACTGTGACCATTTATATTTCTTCCTGGGAATAGTTGCATACACCTTTAATCCCAGAACTCAGGAGGCAAGAGCAGGAAAATCTCTGTCAGCTGGTGGCCAGCCTGGTCTACATAGAAAGTTCCAGGAAAGACAGAGATACATAGAAAAATTCTGACTCAATGAGAGAGGGAGAGAGAGAGAGAGAGAGAGAAAGAGAGAGAGAGAGAGAGAGAGAGAGAGAGAGAGAGAGAGAGAGAGAGAGGACACAGAGAGACAGAGACAGAGAGAGAAAAGGATTAAACAAAATGAATGTATAAATTGTTGGACATAAATTAAATACTCTGTTAAAGTTAGCCATCAAATACTTAAATTTTGTTTCCCTGCTGCTAAAATGAGAGGCCCTTGTGATCTCACCGGTTATGTGTCTGTTGAGCTATATGATTTTAGAGAGTTATCACAACTTTATGTTGCTTCTGCAAATTCAGAAAGAACCCCTAAAGACACCTTTTCTCCGAAATTATCCCCTTGCATCTTCTGACACTTTAGGAAATGTGTGTGGCTTCACAGTGAAAGCTCACCCACATAAGCATTCACACATTTACCTGCACACACACACACGATTCAGCAGTTTTTTCATGGCCACTGAAAAGAATATATCTTGAATACTAACTACAAAAAAAGAAAAACAGGACCTTCAATATTTTCATATTACATATGTCATAGTCACTTCTTTATTAAATAAGGCCTTTTTATACAGTACTTCTAGAATCTGTTCTCTTGTGTTGTTCTTTCATACAACCGATGTTTCTTTTAATACCTTACTTTATATGGGAAAATACTAAGCTTTAGATGTTTATATGGTATACATATCTTATACAGGTTCTGGAAATGTGTTTGGAATATAGGACTAGATGTTTTCTTGTTTCTGGGATTTCTTAAGTCTATGACTGAGGCTCTTCTTTTGTAGTCCCCAGGTAAACAGCAGAGTCTTCTGATTCATGGGCCTTAAATCACATGTGCTAAATCCAAAACTCAAGTTGTAAGGACCAAGAGTCTGTGTTTTAACAAACTCCCCGAAGTGGTGGATGTACATGACAGTTTGAGAAACACCGACATAAAACGATTCCTAATCATCACATGCTATGATCCTTATCGGGAAAGTGTGCAGTAGAGAGCTGTAGAAACTTCGTAGTGGAATAAAAATAAAAGACAGTTGTTTGCTTATTTGATGAAACTGGGTTGGTTTCTTTATTATGAACTGGGAGGATACTGAATAAAGTCTCCACTCAATTCAGTTTCTTGGAAAGTAGCTTGAATTTTCACTGTCCCAGAATTTCTAAGGTCATAATGTATTGGAATGAACTGGCTTTGCATCAGACAAATTCCAATACTTGGTATTTTCTGATCATTTCAGTCCTTTGAGACTCCATTTTTCAAATAAAATTGGGTCAGTTGTGCCTCGTATAAACAGGTATTCCTTGAGTGAATGAATGCTGTCAAAGTTAAATGAATTAATGCCTGGGGAGTCCTTGAAACATTAATAGACTTTACCAATGCTACATTTGGTCCTTCTTTCAAAAACACCAAAGAATGCAATTAGTTATATAAAAACAATGTCTTTAAACAAGAGAGAGATGCTTTCTTATTCCTGCTCATAGCCTCAAAGACAAAAAAGGGAATTCTTCATATTTGGCATTATATTCAAATTCTAGGTTGAGAAAGGAAAAGAAATGTAAGAGACAAGTAAGAACTATCCAAAAGACAGAGGCTTGCCCAGAATTATTGGACTGATGTCATTATTGTCCAGATTTTATCACAAGTTCCTAGATACTCTGAGGAAGCAACTAACATTAGCTGAGAACATTGTCCAAATGAAACTGATGATTTATTTTAAAAGAAGAAAGACCAAAGGACATTAAGGTAACTGTTAAGGTAGTTCATTCAGAAAAACTGTGGGATTTCCACTCAACATTCTTCTTTTCTTTTTCTTAGAAAGGTAAAAAGTGTCTCCGCACCAAGAAGTCACCGAAAGCCATCCACCTACAGTTCAAGAATTGCACTAGCCTACACACCTATAAGCCCCGGTTCTGTGGGGTCTGCAGTGATGGCCGCTGCTGTACCCCCTACAACACCAAAACCATCCAGGTGGAGTTTCAGTGTTCTGCAGGGCAAACCATCAAGAAACCATTCATGGTCATTGGAACCTGTACCTGCCACTCCAACTGCCCTCAGAACAATGAGGCCTTCCTCCAAGAGCTGGAGCTGAAGACTAGCAGAGGAGAAATGTAACAGGTGCCAAGGGAAGCACATTGATTGAGGCAAACTGTTGCTACTGCATGGCCCACCATCACCTGTATATAAGAAACATAATGAAGGAGTTGTCCCATGTATGTTTCTGTGATCATATGAGGTCATTTATATTTGTCTCTTTTTTAGTGAAAGATGTTTGAAATGTAAACTTTAGAATCAAGGTAAGCTCAGGATATGACTTAGGGGTGTCTTGCTTTCCTGTGCTGTTTATTGCAAGTGCAAATTTGTGTAAATTTAAGTCATATAGATGATCTAGTTGGTAGAATGTATCACATGACACTATTTTCTGTGCACTAGTTAAATCCCAATAAATGTTACGGAAATGATTGGCACAGTGAAATCTAATATGATGTTGAACATGTACATATATATCACCATATGCTAAGGTTGACTTGAGGGATCTCTACTGAGCTCCTTATTGGGGTAGGTCAACCATGTATTTCTAAGTGTAAGATCAAAGGAAACATACAGCTCTTGAACATGAAGTTCAGAGACTGATTGTCTACTTAGTACACTAGGAAATGTGCTATAGCTACAGCAATGGAGTGTCTCTTAATTAAGTGGGCTGGTGTCATGGACTTTCTCCATTATAGACAAACTGACTCCTTTCCAATAGAAAGAAGCTGAACCAAAAACTCCCAGTGCAGAGATGACGGGGCCTCTCAGTGCATGGTTTGTATCCTGGAGGCTGTTGAGGCCCACTTCTTCAAAATTAAACAGGGATTCTTTCATAAACAGTACACTGAAGACCAAGCCACCTAACTTACAATCTCTGATGACTTTCAAATATGCTTTTAGGGCAATTTTGAAAAGGAAGAGCAGAAACTACAAAGTTTTATGAACGTTTAGAGTTACTAAAGACCTGCTCAAAATACATCCTTTGGTTGTAGTTATGAAAACACAAGATATACATGTGTACCTGTGTATGCTCACTAAACAAAGATCACAAAATGTGCTAGAAAATGCAATTTGTACATCACCACACGCGTTCCACTTTTCTTTTTAAAGTATTTATGAAAATATAAATTATACATTTTGTAAAATATTCTCTTTAATTTCCCTAGTTGTTACAAACAACTTTTTTTAAAAAAAAAAAATAAGATGTTATCAGTGAGTGACTGTGGTATGAGATTTGTATTACCAGTTTAATGTTGTTTACTGAAAATAAAAATCCATGAATTAAGTAAGACATCAATCAGTAGCGTCTGTTGAAAGCAACGTGGATATTTTGTGATGAGCTCATAACTTTTTATCAGAGGAAAATGATCTCCATCCCCAAGGCTGCAAACGTTCTCTGTGCCACTTGCTTGGATCATCATCTTCAGCCCCAGTCATTTTTTTTAAGAAGACCCCCACCCCCACCCCAGACATCCTTATACACTGATTCCTCAATATCTGATCTTAGAGTCGAGACTCACTTTATCAAAGTAAAAGACAGCCCAGCCACGATTCCTAATACCCAGGTAAAATCATGAGCATCTTCTTTTCAGTTTGCCCTTGCCACATGCCCAGAAAATTATGCAGCTGGCCATCCATATCCATCGGCACTGTGCCAAGGGATGCCACCAACCAATCTTGGACTGAAGAGATTGGGGGTGGGAGGGGAACAAATGTTACTTCGTAGCTAATTTGTACCATGTAGTTGGCCTTGAGTGATTGCATGGGTAACAACCATTGACAAGGCATAAGTGTTATGTTGGGCTATTATGAATCATCCAAAGATGATAAGTTATAGAGGAGGGTGGGTATATGCTTTAAGCAAATACTACTGTTCTGTATGAAGGCCTTGAACATCTGTGGGTTACAGTTTCCACCCTGAACTTTCATGGTCTCTCAGGGATACTGAGAGGCACCTATATTTCTAGTGATGACGTTGACTAGAACTATGACCAGGCTTGCCATCTGGGTGATATAAGAGCCAAGACACAGTTAACATGAGCTTTTATAGTTTGAAGTTTCTGGCTGGTACAGCATGAACACAAAAAGATGGAATTTTTCCATCTTCATTTCCCCAGTTATAGCCTCCTTCCTCTCCATCTTTACAGCTAGTTTATATTTACTTTCAAGATAAACTGGAAAGCAAATTGGACTTCTAGGTGTTGATTCAAAGGGGATTATCAAGGCCTTCTAACATTTATTGCATACTTACATTGGTCTAAGCACTTTGCTTGTATCACTTAATTTGCATAACAGTGTAAAGTCAGTACTCTTCTGGCTACTCATGAAAAATCTTTCTTAAAAACCCAGAAAGTTAAAAGAAAGAACCATGGAGAAGTCTAGCTAAGTGCTTACTACACAAGTGTGGGCATCTGAGGTTGGATCCTCAGCACTCCTGTAAAGGCTGGGTATGGCAATACACACCTGTACTCCCAGCACTGCTGGAGAAGGGTGGTGGAAGGATTCCCATGATTCACTGGCCAGCCAGTCAAGCTGAAACACCAAGATCCAGGTTGAGTGACAGACCCTGTCTCAAAACATAACCTGGAAAGGAAGAGAGGACCCGACATAGGACTTCTGGCCTCTACACGTGCACACCTACACACACAAACACATAAATTATAGAACTATAAAAACAGGAGTCTGTTATTGTTTGAAGATATCTACGAACCTGCTGTGATTGGGCACCTCTATAATCCCAACTGAGGCTGAGGTGGGAGTATCACAAGTTCAAGGCCAGCCACTGTTACAGCAAGACCTTGTCTTAAAATAACTATGAACACTAATCAAAAGAGATGTAGAAGGAAAATGTACAGTGTAATATTTTGAGTGTAGAAAAGGTTAGTGATAATGCTGTTTACATTTTTATGACTGTCAACATTTTTTAAAGTAGGAATACATTATTGTTGTAACTAGAAAAAGAACCATAAGGCTAGATCAAGATATCCCTTCAAGCCATCCTGTGACAACCGCTTCATGCAGAATTAGCTGCAACTTTGAGAATCAAAAACAGTAGCTAATTAATTCATTTTATTCATCTAGTGAATGCTTCTATGGGCCTAGCATTGTTTTAAATTCTGAAAATATATCTGAAGCCAAAACAGAAATTAATTAAACAGGTTACCCTTCTTTCTGGTATTTACACTGTTTGAAAAGGCTAAAGCAAGAAGCAATGAATGCTAGATAAATATCTAGCAGCAAATGCATATATCCTATAATCATGCCAGTGGCTAATGTAGCTTGAGGTAGTATCTTAGGGTTTCTATTACTGCAATGAAACACTATGACCAAAAAGCAAGTTGAGGAGGAAATGGCTTATTTGGCTTCATAGTTCATCACTGGAAGAAGTCAGGACAGGAACCTGGAGGCAAGTGCTGATGCAGAGGCTATGGAGGGGAGCTACTTATTGGCTTACACCACATGGCTTGCTTAAAATCCAAGACCACCAGCCCAGGAGTGGTACCATCCTCAATAGGTTGGGCCCTCCCCTATAAGTTACTAATTAAGAAATATCCCACAGGCTTGCATACAGCCCAGTCTCATGGAGGCATTTTCCCAATTGAGGTTTCCTCCTCACAGATGGCTTTAGCTTGTGTCAAGTTGACATAAAATGGTCTGGCACAGGTTTCCAGTGACTACTCTACAGTTGTTCCTAAAGAGCTGACATTTCCTCTAAGTAACAAAGAAAAAGAGAATGTAGCTCTCAGATCAAAAAGGAGAGAGAGAGAGGATGGAGGAAGGAGAGCCAGAGAGACACATACATATATATATACACCAAGATAGGGGGGAGAGAGACACAGAGAGACGGAGACAAAGACAAGAGAGACAAGAGAGATAGAGAGATAGAGAACTAGAAGCATGAAGGAAGGCCCATGTAGTTTCATGTAGTTCAAGAACCTCGTGAAGGTCAGCTGCACAATTTCCCTTCAGGGAATTGGTTTGAGGACTTGTCACTATTTTCAAAGTTCTAGCGCTATTTTCTAACTGATTCTTCATACTCCTATTACAGACACATTGAGTGTATTAGCCATCATTATATCTCCTCAAGTATCTTATGCACAACAGACCTCCCTGTAGACCTGTTGAATGAATACGCAAATAAACTAATGAGTAGTTTCTGGATTGACAAAACACACAATGTTCTTTGAAATAAACGTCAGTCTTTTAGACTTTCATTCTTATCACTACTTCTCACTCTCCAACACATACAAACAGCTCCTCACACATGCATTCCTGAAATTATAATTAAAGGTTAGAAAAATGTGGTCTGACGTATGAATTTTTGTAAAGTTCAAAATGTTCTTATAACACAGTAAGGGAACCAACCCTGACTGAGCCAGTTTAGGACCATAGAGCCCGGGTTTGAATACCAGACTTACTTTCTCCCAGCTCTGGCATATTAGGCAGTTTGTGCCTGAGTCTCAGTTCCCAGACCTGTAAAGTCTACATATCAATGAGTGAAGCTCAGCTTTCCTTTACTCAACTGAGATGGTCCTGGAGAATCGAGACTTGCCATTGTAAACTCAGGCCAGTCTAGGACAAGTCAGTCACTTTACATACTAACTAGAGAATTAAGAGACTATGTGCTCAAAGCACTTGATTTTGCCTGTCGCATGGCGAGCTTGTAAATGACTGCTGTTATTGTAATGGGCACAGTTCTTTATTCTATATAGCTAATGTATGTATAGATTATTGAGTTCTTTTTGTGTGTCTCTGTCTCTCTCTTTTTCTCTGTATGTCTCTGTTTCTCTGTCTTTCTCTGTCTCTCCCTGTTTCTCTGTGTGTCTCTGTCTCTCTCTGTCTCTTTCTGTGTGTCTGTGTTTCTGTCTCTTTCTCTTTAGTGTGTGTGTGTGGGGGGGGCATATTATAAGTGTTCATGTATTACTGAATGCATGTGTTGGCCAGATCAACACTGTGTCTTTCTCAATTGCTCTCCACTCTATTTGAGGGGAGATGGTCTTTAACTGAACTTGGAGCTCATTGATTTGGCTAAACTGGATGCCCATCAAATCCAAGAATCTTTCTATCTCCCACCCTCCAGCACTAGGATTGTAGGGTACATTGCAATGCTCAGCATTTTTCATG